CCCTCCCTGCCGCCGCCCGCCCAGGGGCAGACTGACAACTCATGGCGCCCCCGGGCAATAGGGGATCATGGGGCCCCTGTGTTCTTGCCCAAACTCAAAAAAGCCTATGAAAAAGGTACCAGGGGCATCTCATGGGGCCCCCTACTGACCCCGGGCCCTCGGGCAGTGCCCGAGTTTCCAAATGGTCAGTCCGCCCCTGCGCCCGCCCACCTGCCACTGCCGCCACCGGCCGCCACTCAATAGTTCAGCCTTACCTGAGAAACCATCGATCCCGGCGCTGGGTTTAGAGATGAGTGAAGGAAAGATGGCCACCACACATCTCTATACGATGTCACTTCCCGTTCCGGCCATTTTTATTTTTTTTTAAAGCACTAGATCAATGCTTTTTTTGATCCAATGCTTTACATTGCAGAGGAGAGATGTGGGGTCTTATTGACCATAAAGAGGAGCTGTCACTAATTATTTCTATCACAAGGGATGCATGCATTTCTTGTGATAAGAATAAAAGCGATTACAATTTTTTTTTTAAAGGGACAGTGCAAAATAGCCCCAAAACATTAAATACATTTTTTTTTTTTTGTTTAAAGTGCTCCCGTCCCCCCGTGCTTGCACGTAGTGGTGAACTCATACGTAGGCCATGCCCACATATGTAAATGGTGTTCAAACCACACACGTGAGATATCGCTACAAACATCAGAGGAATAGCAACAATTCCAGCACTAGACCTCTTCTGTAACTTTACACTGCTAACCTGTAGAAATTTTTAAAGCATCACCCATGGAGATTTTTAAGTAGCACAGTTTCACGCCATTCCATGAGTGTGCGCAATTTTAAAGCGTGACCTGCTGGGTATCTATTTACTTGCTATAACATCCTCTTTCATATTTTACAAAAAAATTGGGGTATATATTTTTTTTTTTTCGGTTTCGGTTTTCGGCCAAGTGATGATGAACCGGCAACCTAGCCAGAGGAGCTGTGACCCCCCTGCCGGGGCACAGGGCCCACCAGTGACAAAGGGGGCGTGCCTCATTGCCCCGGCAACGTGGCACTGGGCAACCTGGAAGCATCCTGCTCGGCTTTAAAAGGCCGGCGCGGGACCAGGGCGGTCTCTTCCTCGTGTGTGTCTGCTGTCCGCCGCTGCTGGACTTGCAAGCCACTGGGAGGTCCGGGTGGGGGGACTGGGCCTCCGCAGCCATCCCCGCCGAGCACTCTGCAGGAGAGCCCCCCCCATAGGTCAGGACTATTATTCGCTTCCAAGCTGCTCAATATCCCCAGGGTCGGGAGTACCCACTGCCCCTCTGCTAAATACCCCCAGGGTCGGGAGTACCTGCTGCCCCTCTGCTAAATACCCCCAGGGTCGGGAGTACCCGCTGCCCCTCTGCTGAATACCCCAGGGTTGGGAGTACCCACTGCCCTCTGCTAATACTCCAGGGCTGGGAATATCCGCTGCCACCCCCCTAATACACTGGGGCCCAGATTACCCGATGTGCTGTGTGCTGGAACTGCTTTGCTGTGGGCCCAATAATACTCTGCCTAATACTCTGGGGCCCTGGTTATCCGCTCTGCTGTGTGCTGAGGAGGTTCGCTCCTCCCCTTTTCTGTCGCCTGCTGTGAGCCAGGACATACCTGCTGGAGCCGTGAGTGTCCGCAAACCGCCTATCTCCCTGGAAGCTGCCTGCTGCTGAGCGTCCGCAAGCCGCCTACCTCCCTGGAAGCTGCCTGCTGCTGAGTGTCCGCAAGCCGCCTACCTCCCTGGAAGCCACTTCCTGCTGAGTGTCCGCAAGCCGCCTACCTCCCTGGAAGCTGCCTGCTGCTGAGTGTCCGCAAGCCGCCTACCTCCCTGGAAGCCGCCTGCTGCTGAGCGTCCGCAAGCCACCTACCTCCCTGGAAGCCGCCTGCTGCTGAGCGTCTGCAAGCTGCCTACCTCCCTGGAAGCCGCCTGCTGTTGAGCGTCTGCAAGCCACCTAAGTGTCCCTAGAAGCCATGAACTGCCCCTATTGTGTGCTCAGACTACCCTTGCCAAGAACTGCCCCTATTGTGTGCTCAGACTACCCTTGTTTGCACTGCCCCATGGCGTGCCCGGAGTATAGCTACCTGGACTGCCCCCTGACGGCTTGAGCCAACGCTACCCGAAATAAACAACATAGTCAAGGTCCCGCTGAGTCCCCGTGAGCCTGATGTTGTCCCTAGAAAGCTGTGTGGGAGCTGTGCTGAGATCAGACCCCATAGCCAAGGTCCCATTGAGTCCCCGTGAGCCCGCTTACCGTGAGTGTCCCTACAAGCCGCATGTTGCGGAGTGCCAAGAGCTGCCCCAATTGAGTGCCTTCCATAGTTCAATAAAGCTTTGTGTGTTTACCATCTTCTTTGTGTGTTCTGTCCTGTCTACGCTTTCGTCACAAACACATATTCAAAAAAGCGCATCATATTGCACATTAAATGAAGTGCAAAAATTGCCATCAGCCTAAATGCCAGGCCTTCCTCAAAGGGCTCAGCAATTTGAGGAAATCTGTCGGATAAACCACATCATGTGGTACTGCACAGCAACCAGAAGTTACTTCAGATGCCAACATGGAAGTTATGTGATGGCACTGACTTCAGCATCATATATTTTTTGTCTGTCCTGTTGGGATTGTGCAAGACTGTCACTCATAGCACTGTAATTCTGGAGTATTTTGTGGGTACAAAGACTGCAACAGTGTACACAATATGTAGTGCCCTGTAGTGTAGATAGTGTAGTTACAGGCTTGCTAGAAGCCTGCTTTTAGACAGAGGGTTACTTCAGGTTAATCTGGAGGGCTCTACAGGTCAGTCCTCTGGTACTTTCCCCTGCTCTAGAAGCTTGGAGAAGCTTCTATAAGTCAGTAGGCAGACGTGAGGAGGGGCTGATCTGCATGTTATAGGAGTCTGACGAATTCCAGGCAGGAGGCCTGGCAGTGTGTCAGACTGGCCCATAAATATGACAGAGCCTGGCCAGCAAGGGAGAATCAGGTGGAAGATGGAGGAATGAAATGCTGCTGTGTAGCCTGGGAAGGGCCCCGGAGAAGGGGGGTTCTGCCTCCAGGCTGGAAGTTGAAGGAAGCTGAAAGAGGGAGCTCCACTGCCTTGCAGTCCACCAAGGAGAGGACAGTCTGCATAGCCTGGAAAAGAACCAGCCCAGCAGAAGGCTTTAAAGCAGTTCTATCTACAGCTGTAGAACAAGGACAGTGTGAGTACCTCTGCACCCCCAGTGCCTATAAGGGAGAAGTCTGCTGGATGCAAGTTCTTGGCAAGTCTTCAGGGGAGTTCATAGCTTATGCAATCTCTTGTGCTGGAATTGGATACCATAACCAGGTGCGCCGGTATTTTGGTCATAAACCCAGAGCTTCTGCAAGTTGTCACTTTGCTGAAAACCCACTCAGGGGGCACCGAATTCCTAAGAGGGGATTACTTTGCTAAAGACTGTTGTGGCTCTGGCTGGAACATAGTCAAATGTCTGTCATTTTTCAGTATTCTATAGAAGAAAATTGTCCTCATTTTGTTATTCTTCAATGAAGTTGGACATCTTATAACCCCTTTACCCTATGCAAGTTAAATTCCCTAAAAAATTCTACAAATTAAGCCCATGGACCATTTCTGGATACAAGTTGGAAAATGTGTGTTGCCCGGCTGTGCAGGAAATAAGGGGGACCTCAAACCTGTGGCTCTCAAGAGGGTAGCACTACAAATATATAGGCTGAGACTCTAGTTACCCTTGCTTTTTTAAGCCACACCCAATATTCAGCACAATTTAGCCACATCCATTTTCAAAATGGTGTACTTAGCATGCTGCATGTCTTCTCAGTGACAAAGTGTCCCTCGTTCTCAAATTCCAAAGTTGGGAGATATTACTTATTCTCGACTCCTTGCATTCTGTGAGTTACTTACTCCTGACCCCTGCAAACTGTGCATAGTACACTCCTGACCCCTGCACTCTGTGTGTAACACATTTGCAATGTCTGCACGCTGGGGGGCACTTACTCTTGACTCCTGCAAACTGTGGGTTTCTTAAAGCGGAGCTCCACCCAAAAGGGAAAGTTCTGCTTTAAGCCTTTGTCCCCCACTCCCCATTAAGGATTGGCACCTAGGTGATCGGAAGTGGAAGTTGTCCTCCCCCCCCTCCCTCCCCGTAGTCTTCTGGGACACGTGACAGGTCCCAGAAGACTACGTGGCCATTCACAAAGCGCAGCGCTTCTCGTGGATGCGAAGTGGGCAGCTGGCTGTGAAGCCGCAAGCTGTCACAGCCGGGTGCCCACACTGAAGATGCTGGCGTCAGGGAGAGAAGACAGCCGGTGAGGACACCACTGGACCGAGGGACAGGTAAGTGGCTGTATTTTAAAAGTCAGCAGTTACATTTTTTTTTTTGTAAGCTGGAACTCTGCTTTAAGGTGGCTATACAATAAAAATGACTTGATGTGGATCAAAACTGACATTTGATGTGGAAAGGGGATCATTGCCAATGATGTAGAAACTACGTCAGTGGCAGTGGGGGGGGGGGGGGGGCCTGGGGGGGTTACTCACACTCTTGGTGACTGCAGCTGCCATGAGTGTATTTAAATCTGAGAAGCTGAATGTCAGATGGAAGCAATTAGCTATGCAGTCGCCAATCCTGCAACACATCTCGATAACAGCCCCACCCCTTTCCTGTTACTGGCCCAGAAGTAACGTGTAAAATGTCCAGGCCCCTGTGTCAGTGGAATCTTTTAGACCCCTGATGTCTCATCAAAGAGAACCTGTCACCAAAAAATGCAACACTTTTTGTCCCCTATGTGATGACCAAAGAACTGTTTGGTGAAAAAAAAATTAGCTTTTTTTAATGTTAAACATGTAAATATATGTTAAATGTGTAAACATATTAACCCCCCTGGTGGTATTCCCGAGTGTAGCTCGGGGTTAACTGTCAGTACCAGAAGCGGTAACCCCGAGATACACAGCAGCATTGCTCAGGGATCCCTCCAGCACTTACCTTGTCCCATGATCCCGTGATGTCCCCCCTGCAGCGTCCCCGGCCATGTCCTCCGGCCGATGCCGACATCCGTCTTCTGCAAGCGTCGGGACATATGGGACGTATGGGGAACGGAACTGGCGGGAGTTTCAAAAATGTAAAAAAAATTGACATTCACTCAATACACTAAAATCACATAGTAAAACATTACTGTATCAAAGCATTTCACATACATTTTGTCCCGAGTGCTTTGTCCTGTGCCCTGCCTGCATTTTTACTGTTCTTTCTGCCTGGAAACTGAGAAATATCCATGGTGTCCAAAAAGTGTCCCTTTAGGTCAAAAGCGTTTTTAGACCAGCTAGAGAACAGCGATAGTAAATCAGAACCACTTGCAGAATTGAGTGATAATGATTCCTGAGGAAATTCGTCATCAGACACTGAAAACGATTCTGCGACTTTGCTCAGTGATGTGCGAACTTGGCGCTCTATTTCAAATTTCAGTGTTTTTGGTTTGATCATATTATTGAATTAAATTTTTTATTATTATTATATTATTATTGTTTTTTGATTATTTATTATAATTTATGATTTCGTGTTTCAAATTTTATCAGACCTGGGATGTTTACTAGACTCTTGTTCGGACAGATTTCAGTGAGTTATTCATAAGAATTACAGGCCTACAATAAAAAAAAAAACATATTTCCAGTGCAAACAATGTACCACTTTGAGCACAGAAATGCTAACATAATCAGACTGCTTGGGAGGTTCATGAACAAAGCAAACAACAAAAAATTTTTTTTAATTATAATCTGATTATAATCAGAGAGTGAATTAGGAGCATTGTGGCATCATTTTGTTAATAAGGGGCGTATTCTGGAGATGTTGCGGAGGTTGAGGCGGCATGATTTGGACAGGGATTGGATGTGGGCCTGACAGGATAGTTCAGAATATATGGTTACCCCTAGCACTTTGGCATTCAGGGATGGGTTGATAGTGGTGCTATTGATCCTGACTGAGAAATGGTTTTGGATAGATTGAGTTTTAGGAAGTAGTGTGACATCCAGTCTGATTTGTCTCTGATATGTCTGTTAGTAAATCAGTAATACGTGAGGGAATTGAGGTGGTGAGCTGAGGAGTAGAGAGGTAGATTTGTGTGTCATCAGCATAGACATGGTATTGGAAACCATGGGAAGCTCTCAGCTGACCCAAGGAAGAAGTGTAGATCGAGATTAGGAGAGGTCCAAGGACAGAACCTTGGGGGACCCCGACAGTGAGAGGAGTAGGAGAGGAGAAAGTATAGTTGTAAGTGACACTGAAGGTGTGGTGAGATCGGTAAGATTCGAACCAACGGAGAATACAGTCACCAAGACCAAGTAAATAGAGTTTTTTTGAGGAGGAGGGGGGGTGGCCAACTGTGTCAAAGGCAGCAGAGAGGTCCTAGAGCAAGAGTACGGAATAGTGACCATTGGTTTTCGCAGTTAGTAAGTCGTTTGTGAGTTTTAGGAGAGCAGTTTCTGTGGAGTGTTGTGGGCAAAATCTAGATTGAAGGGGAACAAGAAGGTTATTCTCAATAAGGTGGCAGCTCAGCTGGTTGTAGACAAGACATTCAAGGAGTTAGGAGGCAAAAGGGAGTAAGCAGATGGGTCTTAGGTTGCTAAGATTGCTGGGGTCCAGTGAGGCCTTTTTAAGTATGGGGGTGACTAGCACATGTTTTAGAGAGTTGGGGAAGATGCCAGTAGAAAGGGAGAGACTGACGATACGAGTTAAAGGAGCCAGAGGGTGACCGTCGTATTTGCAAGGGAACAGGGTCCAGGGGACAGGTGGTTAGGTGGGCTTTAGAAACGTTTACCAACCTCCTCTATAGTAGCTGGGTTAAACAAGGGAAGTATAGATTGTGCAGGTAGACAAGGAGTGTAGGGTGAGGGAGATATCTGTACAGTAGAGATCTCGTCACTAATTGTATCAATCTTATTTTTGAAGTGATTAGCGATCTCCTGGGCAGTGAGTGAGTTAGCGGCTGGAGGTAAAGAAGGATGAAGTAGAGTTAAATGTAGAAAAGAATTGATGGGGATTACGTGAGAGGGAGTTAATGAGAGTGATAAAATAGGTCTGTTTGGCAGTGTGGAGACAGGAATTGTATTTTTGAAGGGCAGATTTATATTGAAGTCTTGCTGGGGCTTAGTCGTATGCCATAAACGCTCAAAAGCATGGCTACGTTTTTTGAGGTATCTGGTATTGTCTTTTTGCCAGGGCTGTAGCGGTTGGGCAAAAAGGGATTTGTGAAAAGAGATTCACAGAAAAGCGGCTACATTATGAACAGAATGCGATACTCAGAGAAATTTCCAAAAATTATGCTTTATTTGCACAGACCTTTTTCCCCATTTTTTTTTTGGGGGGGGTAATGTTTCACATTGTTTCTAATATATGGGTATGGGTAAATTTAAGAGCTGTTTTGAAAGATGGATGGGTCCCTATTCAACTGTGCATTTCCTAGCCCCGTGGAAGACCACGCTTTTAGGATGGTCTAATATTTAATAAAATACAGCCTGTGAATTGCCCAGGGAGCAGCATTAACATTGTGGCTTGTAGTACATCCATAATTTTATACTAATAAGCTGTGTATTGGGTCTGTGCACAGGATGGGTCTCTCCATGGTGTTTGGGTGACAGGTTCTCTTTGATAAAATTCAACCTTCATTCTTCCTTGCAAAGTAAACGCATGAAGGTTAAATTAATCTGCACATTCAGGATAAAGCGACAGGTTCACCATAATGCCAACCTCCACAAATGCAAATACTTTCCTGGTTTTTGCTCCTCAGCCAATCTGTTCAGTTGGAAATGAAAAGTAAAGCCCCGAAGGAGTGGTGTTTGTGAAGTCATGCTGGTGCTTGTTGAAGGGGGGGAATTGTTGGGAAAGGGTGAGGGATTACAGGAAACATTGATTTTCTCTTTTTTTAATCAACATACAGGATAAATTTAAAGTGATGTAAGGTTGTACTTTTTTTTAAGGCAAACCGCTCCAATCCTCTTCTTTTTTGTGTCATGTCCTCCTGCAGTCAATTCAATTTGTTCATTCTTCTTCTCTTTTCCAACAGATGGAGCGCAAGACTCCATGTCACTACCTGGGAACCATGAATGCTGTGCCCAGTGGGATGAAGCTCCATGACCTCAGAATCCCCATCCTCCTTCCCCTCCTGATCACTGCAGTAAAAGTCGCCAACAGACTCATTCCATCCATCCATCCATCCATCCTGCATTGCTGCTCTGTGCACCTTCATGTACGTAGTCATGATTTCTGTGTGCAGTGTTTAATTTTATTAAATTTAGACCTTTCCCACTGGCTTGTAGTTTTTCTTCTAGTTTGTGGTGAACAAACAAAATGCTATTCGTGTTAGCTACAATAGACTTGCTCAGTATCTAAACCAGCGGTCACTAAATGGCGGACCACAGTCCGAGAACGGCCCCAAAATGCTCCCTTCTGGACCGCCAGCCTGCAATGACAGATCTGCCGCTGAGCAGGGCGGTCCTCACAGCAACATGACATCACGTGTGTGCGCCCCCCCCCTTGCAGCTCACTGTCTCTCCGGCTCTCCCTCTCCCTGCCTGTACACAAGCATTCTTCAGCAAGGATCCTGACACAGCTCCTGTCTGCCCTTAAGGTAGGGTGTAGTCTTACAGGGGCACTCTGATGGGCACATTTAATGTTAGAGTCATGCTGATGGGCACATTTAATGTTAAGGTGCACTGTGATGGACACAACATAGAATGTGCCCATCAGAGTGCCCCTTACTATAAATGTGCCCATCAGAGTGCCCCTTAATATAAATGTACCCATCAGAGTGCCCCTTACTATAAATGTGTGCCCATGCCCCTTACTATAAATGTGCCCATCAGAGTGCCCCTTACTATAAATGTGCCCATCAGAGTGCCCCTTACTATAAATGTGCCCCTTACTATAAATGTGCCCTCTCAGAGTGCCCCTTGTTATGTTAAGGGGGCACTCTGACGGCCCCATGTTATGTTAAGGGGGCACTCTGATGGGGGGCCCCATGTTATGTTAAGGGGGCACTTTGACGGGCCCATGTTATGTTAAGGGGGCACTCTGACGGGGGCACTCATACTGTGGAAAGGGGGGCACTCTGATGGGGAATATGATTTAAAGGGGTACTCTGAGTGAAAGGGGGCACTCTGATGGGAATACCTGATAAGGTAAGGCACTGTGATGGGGGACACCTGTTGTAAAGGGGGCACTCTGATGGGCACACCTGATGTGATGGGAATACATGATGTAAAGTTGCACTCTGATGGCGACACTTAGTGTAAGGGGGTGCACTGATGGGCACACTCTATTTGGACCTCGGCCAGAAGAAAATTTTAGTGACCGGACTTCTTGAATTTTAATTCAATACCCCTGATCTAAAAAACTGTTATTGATCATCCTAAATTGGTGTAGTGACTCCTCCTGGCTAGAAAAGGAAAAACCTCCAGCACAGAGGTGGGCTGATATTACCCCAGGGTGGATCCATGGCCGCAGTGGAGAGTTACAGTGATGAAGGGCACCTAGCACTTTAGTATTTTATAGTATTCTGCTCTGGCTCATAAGAGAGAGAGAGATTAGGGATTGAGATACCTCCAGCAACATGGGTTCAAAACGTCATCACACTCTCTGAGGGCAGACTCCAATCTTCCTCCAACAGGACTTCTTTTCCTGGCTCTCCAGCTTGGGTACTGTATGCTCCTTGACCTGGCAAGGCAGCTTGAGGATTTTCCTTGTGGTTTACCAAGACTGACATAAATATCTATAATCTAGTATTGCTGCAGCTCCCTTGTTTATTGCCCTAAGCGTCAGTGATTCCTAGTAGCAGCAGCCAGGAACACCAACACTGAGTTTAGGGGAGAGCCAAGTAAAAGACTATTGATCAACCTGGCAGAACTAAATTTACTAGTCACCTCTGTTTATGGCAGGGTGGCTACACTGGGCAAGTTGAAATGAGCAGATCGGTTATCAGGAAAAAACACATAAATACATTTTAAAAAAAAAAAAAAGGTGAAATTATTCTTTAACTCTGTTTTGCAGATAAAAAAATGTGCATTTATTATTTATTTTTTTACTTGGAGCCTAGAAAGCATTGCACCCACAATTAGCAGATACAGGTGCCATGCAGGACTCCTGTAGACCTGTCAGTGTATCTGTGTGCTCCTACCTCATACAGGCAAGATGATACACACTGACAGACAGGAAGAGACAAAGAACTACCACAGTGCTCAACAGCTCCGTGGTAGTTCATTGAGAACTACAAGCCAACAGCCGCAAAGGCTATCCTGACTTGTAGTTTTCCATTCACTGAAATCTGTAAATGAATGATGCGACCGAGCAGGAGGAGCCCCACATGGTTGCAT